AAGAAAGTGGAAAAGTGTTATTGACAGAGAATTAGCTCAGGGCTTAATTTAGTACTCCAGACAACAGGAATTTCTAAAGCAGGCATTGAAAAACATTTCTGGGTGAACCAGATTTTAATTTGTGAAAGCCTGACAGATTCCTGTTACTTTCATTTGCATTCTGTTGTTTAATTCTTACAAATATGATTAGCTGTCACACCCTGTTAAGCAGCAGACTCTCTGGTGTTCATATTCAAGCTCTTATCAAAAGCTCTTGACTTTTGATACTGCTTTTGCACCAATATATGGATTTATTTTTAAGAGCAATTTCTTTTTTTGTTTGTGTGTTTGTAAAAAAAACTAATAAAGATGCAAACTTAACAGGGCATCTCAGAAATAAGAGGTTAATTTCCAAATACAGTTGCCTTTAAAGACAGCTAAACCCATTACACATTCTTCTTACAGCCACAAGAAGGCTCAGATTAGAGAGGTTCCAAATGAATATGTAAGGTAAACATACGGAGATATTCTTCCCAAGAATGCCAAGGCAGTGGAAGGATTAAAGAAAAGGTTTATTTCAGATCCAAGGATGACTTTTTTACAATGTAGCACATCAGACCTTTCAGGGTCAAAAGGCAACGCCCCACCTTCTCCAAGGTTTCTTTTATCTTCTCTCTCTCCTCCCCCACCCTCTCTGACCCAAGGAGGCCTTGTATATTCTGCAAACATGTTATCTTTCTGCATACCACGGAGAGAGAGAGCTGTTTACAACTTCTCCCTGCAACTTTCTCTGAAATGCAGAAGGAGGAAAAGAAAACATCTTATCTGGTTGAAAAGGCACTTTGCAGGTTTTCTAACTGAAACAAGTTCTAGCTCTCTGTTACAAAATGCAGCCTCTTTAAGTCATTCTTTGGGTGTTAGTCATGACAGCATCCACACAAAACCACTCCAGGCCTCTGTCCAACCCAAAGTTCTTGAAGCCCTACAGAATTTGGACTTGAAACAACCAATCAAAATACACTTCTACTCTCTATGACTACACAAAGGCTGAAAATTGAAAATGATAAAATATGTGACAGTTTATTTTTTCCTACTTCCTCACAAGCACAGGAGTGAAGTTATTGTTACAGTATCCCTAATACATAAAGTAAAATGGTTTTATTTCTGTTGTAAGCCTGCCTAAGATCACAAAAGAGTTGTGATCCAAAAATAAGAGTTGATCCAAAATAACTTCCTTATGCCACTCTCTAAGATGGACAAGAAGAAACACAAGCAGGAACTCAGAGCCCTAGAGAAGCAATATCCCAGCCAGAACACTCCATGAGACAGAAGGAAATGACTGAACCAGATCTTAATTCTTCACCCACACAAATGAACCACAGCTGCTGGTTTAAGTGCTAAGGTCACATGAGGGAATGGCTGTTGGCATATCATGGAGAGCTGTCCCTTTCAGAGGTGCTTGAACACCAGCGAGACCCAGCTGTCATACTGGCACAGACTCAAGTAATGAATGACTTGGAAGGTAGATGCTGGATGAAGCAAACACCTGCCATATAACTTGGACCTAAGGAAGTTCCCAACAAACCTGAAATGGGTTTTTCATTGCCTGCGGTGTGTCATTATTGCAGTCCTTCAATGCGAAGTTCCCTTGGAGTAGAACAACCATTTTATACCAGACAGGTCATTGACAAGCAATGAATTTCTATTCAGAGATAATGCAAAATATGTAAGTAAATAATCTGAAAAGATCCTACTGAAATCACAGAGCTAGGAGAGAAGTCAGATTTTTCTGGTAAAATATGGATGTGTCCTAAAAAAGTCTGTTGACAGAATGAAGCAGAGATGTATTATGAACAGAGGATAGACTGTACAGAAAGAACATAAACATCACCTTAAAGCTGAAATAAAACTGGGGTGAAAGGTACAGGATAGGAGAATAGAAGAGAATAGCACAGAAATAGTCAGAATGTAAGGCTTCACACTGGGAGGATAAAATAATGCTGATTTCTGCAATGAACCTGGAGATAGGGAACTGGGAAGACTGAATAAAATAAATTGGTCCTTGTTTTGATCTCATTATGTATATAATTCATCAGTGTAGTGCCTGTGAAAAGGCAATGAAAGTTTAAAATGCAGCCATCAAGCTGTTTTCAGGTAAACCTAGGAAATCTTCAGTCTATTGTGCAGAAAGCCAGTAAGAGTTCAGTGGAACACTGTGCAGAGCCATTACCACAAAAGATATATTCGGATTGGAATCAGTACAGGCACATAAGAATGATGAAGGGGCTGTATGGCCTGTATCACTAAGGCACACTATGAGACTGTGCTTGTCCAGTAGCCCAAAATGTAGAACAAAAAGAAGATGACAGATTTGTCTTTGTGCATCAAGAAGAGCACATCAAATACTAACATTAAAGACAAGGTCAGTGCTGAAACAAGGGCAAATGGAGATAAAATTCCTGTGCATACACATATCATAAATCCAAACAGGTTTTTAACCTACAAAGCAATTGGGTAGTCAAAGAGCAAGACATCAAAAGACTGTGCTTGGCACATTTTCAGAAGGATTCTCCTGTCCTTAGTACAGAATCACATAATTGATGACTCTAGTATTTTACACCATTACAACCTTCATGCTAAAGCACATGGGACAGTGTCTGGTATCTTTGCTCTTGTTTGACAATGTATCAGTCTCACTTTTATAAATGTTGCTGCACTACCAACCAGAAGAAGCCCCCATATACTCATGTCTGATCTGTGTGTGTCACAGGACCTTGGCAGAAAGAGAGTTGTGAATTACTCACAGACACAGTATAATCTGTTCAACTACCTCAAGGATATCATAAGTGAAAGCAAGGCACTATCATAAGTGAGTAAAAGTAAGAGGTTTATCCCATAAGACCACTTAATACAGACAGATCAGGCAAGTTCAAGCCATCACTGAAGGCAGACTTCAAAAGGAAGAAAGCAGAAGTTATTCAGTGCACCCTTGAAGTTATTCAGTGCACCCTTTTTTTCAGGTTGAGAGTTAGGGACAGAGTAAAATGCTAAAATATATAAAATGACTGAGATCTGATGTTAAAGGCAAAAGTCGTAGCCATTCCTTGATGTTTTGAAGTAACTAGAAATGTCTTGTCTCTGCCCAGAAAAAGTTCAAACCACCCAACCAATTTATGAACTGAATTATAAATATATATATATATATGCACTATTTACTTATAACTGAAGAAAGAAAAAGATATAAATATGGAAGTATAAAATGAAAAAGGAAAGTGAATAAAAATGTATATGCCAGGTGCCACTGGTATTTATACACATTCAGAGCATTTGCAGCTCTATAAGATTTTTACTTCTGTTTTACACAGAAACATTAGTAACACATAATAAAATGTGTTCATTATTTATTGTTGACAAACAAATTATGCACATGTTCCCCTAGAGTGAGAAAACTGGAGATAAACAATCTGCAAAGAAAGGGGAAACATAGGAAAAATACTCAAAAAAGAGAGGAATCCTGTAATGATAAGAGAAACATTCTGATACAAGGTAAACAGCCACCAGGGAGTTAGACATGATTTGGAGATAAATTAAATAGCTTCCCACAAGAGTTCAAGTATTGGTACACATTCACCAGTAGGCATTCAGAAGTGATGGGAAACTCTCAGCTGCCATCTGGAAATGGCTCTAGATAGCCTGGTCTGTTTGATTTTATTAGCTGCACAATCTCATTTTTGTTTGATTGCTTTGTATCTGTATATGCATTAGGGGAGAGAGCATTTGCTATTTTCTCAAGTCTGCTGTTTGCTCCTCTGGATTATGCTCTTCTCCATTTTCAAAGTCAATACAATTTTTCTTATGTTTAAGATAAGGCTTCTTTTTTTTTTTTTTTTTTTTTTGCTCTGCTTTTCATACAGAGATTTCAAAGAAATATCCCCCTGAAAAAGGGTAGAGGGGGAAAAAGAGCAGGATTTCACCTTTTTCCTGAGGATATAATGCAGAAGTTTGCTGGAGGGGGTTAAAAGGCCCTTCCCCAGTGCAATCCTCCGTGATCCTATCTCTTAACACTTGCACTGCAGAATTTACACTTATTTCTCACCCCAAAGAATGTCTTCCCCCACGAATATTTGAAGATTTTGGGCATGGGCATGGAGAATGAGATTTGGCATTTCATGAGAGATGCAATATAAAAGTCACCCTGTCAAAAACCATATAATACTTTGATGCATCTGAAAAGGGGTTTCAAAATACCCCTCCATCTAATTAGGACTCTAACATTTTGTAAATTCTTGCTTCTTGTATACCCCCTCAGTGATTGAAATCTTAATTCCAAGACGCATGTTAAACACCTTGGAGTGTTTTCAATAGCGTCCCTGTTCTCACAACCATAAGCCGTAGAATATACATTTGAATTTACTGGTTAGAGCTATCAATTCTGCTGAAGAGGGAAGGAGTAAAGAAAAGAAGACCAGCTGAATAGTTTGGATAATATTTTTTTATTATGTTAGTTCAGTAAAGCAGATGCTGTAGGAGTGATCAGTGGGGATATATACAAAGTGAAGCAGGCTGTAAAGTTACAAGACTAAACAGCATGGATGACACATTTACATTTTTCAGAAATAAATATTTGGCACAAATATGCTCTGGAGGGTTCTTTAAAATATGGCAGTGCTTTTTTACTAGACAAATAACTATTATTCTATGTATAGGACAAAATTGGTGACAGTTATAGTGGGTTTTTTCCTGTATTTATTAAAATAGCTGTAAAAATTAATATAAACAAATCTGATTATGAAGTGACTCATAGAGGCAAAATAGAAGAACTGAGAATACAGCAGTTAAAGGTGGAAATACAACTGATAACTTCTTCTGTAACTGTACTTGCAGAACACTCACTGCCATGATAGCTAAGGGCATCCGAGTGCCAGACATTTGAAAAACCAACCTTTGGGAAACAGAGATGACAGTCTGTAATGCTGACACTTAAATAGTGTACAGCACATTTACAAGCAGTTGGATATTCAGCCAAATACCTGAATGTGGGATATTTCATTGTTTTGAGGAGTTAGGCAATATATGTGGATCTCTTGGCCAGTTTCTCTGGAAGATGTTGGTCTTAGTGCTTTATTTTTGGGGCCAGATTGACACCTGATTTGTGATTTACTCCAGCTTTCCAGGTTTTGTCTGAAGGGGCATGAGAAAGCTCTGAGACAAGCAGGAAGGAAGATTCAGAGAGAAGTCAGGATGGCAGCTCCTGCACCTGGACTGGCCTGTGGTGGGGTGTGTTCCAGCCCAGCAATCCTCAGCCATGCACAGAGAGTTTTCTCACAGCTACATGCAGGTCAGCAAGGCCGAAGACAGCTCAGCCTCTTTTAAAAAACAGACAATTTTAAATTAGGAGCCAGCCCTTAAGCACCCTGGTGTGACTGAACCATTAAGGTTTTCTAAGAATCCTATTTTCTCTGGCATAAAAGGCAGCTATGAGTATGCTTAACTACAAGCCTTAAGCCAGATACAAATAAGCTTAATTATGAGCCCTAAGTCAGTAATGAGCATGCTTAATTATTTTATTTTTGCTAAACCTTGTTTTCTTTAGGGTAATTTTAAACTTATTAGGCCTGTGTTCAAAAAAATTGACAGTGTAACTTTTTTTTTGTTACTGTTTCTATTAATAAAAAGAGCAACCATGAGCATATATATCTTTCAAGACAGCATAAGAAATTCCAATGTGTTATGTTGGTCTGTTAAGATTCATTATCACTTGCATGTCCTTTTAATAACCTCATTGTAAACATCAGTTGTGATGTAAAGATATTTTCATTCCAAATAACTTTATGTAGTACTTCAAATTTCAGATTTTATTAAAGTACTTAAAATACTGATGGTTTGAACAGTTTTGGACTGTATAACTACCTTAATTACCCATACCCATCCATAATCAAGCACATCCATCTCTTAGGAGTGAAAAGTAAATTTCTGCTGACTGCAGGCAGATCTTTTTACTTGAATGTAATATATCTGACATTTATTTAAATAACAGAAAATAGTCAGTAGGTTAGCTCAATTCTTTCCAGGGACAGGGAGGATTTGTGCATTTTAAAATGTTAACTGGGTCTTCTTTCACATGAAACATCTGCTGTCTACAAATTTCATTTTTCAATCTAGGTCACAGTGACTTCTATCCTCTCCACAATTGTTTTTCAAGCATTATGTTTCCTTCACTGCTTAAATTTGCAATCATTGTCCCTAAAATCTCTCTGTGCTGATCACTTTCAAAGAACTTTATATTAAGGCTATTTGGAACAAGCCACAATTTTAAGCAAAATCTATAAATTTAATATGTAAATATGTTTCTTCTACTTTCACACACTGTCTTTTTGAACTAAGGATGTGCAATGAACTCAGATGAGATACTGGCTGAAAGATGGGAGAAGAGCTTGGCTAGCATCACAAATACATGACTTTGTTGCATATAATATGAAGATTTCAGTTCTGAATTTGTTAGCAAGAGAGAAATGGGAATTTTGCACAATAGAAATAATCTCTTGATAATTTTATTTCAGTTCACCTATCCAGATCTTGTTTAGTGTGTGATGTATATAGCCTTTGTGTGTGTGTGTGTGTGGTTAATTCAGCACCCTTCTCACTTTTGCTGTGTTTTCTTAGTCCTCTTATGCAACATATCAATAAAGATTATGTTATCTTGAATAATTTTCATTAGAGAAAATCTATGTCTAAAACTTATGTTGTTTCTTGGATACTGGGGGCTTGGCAGATGGAGTGACAGACACCCCATGACTATCAGAGACATAAAGGCAAGTGACTGGGAAAGCCTTCTTGTTCCACAGAATCTTCAAAAGAGATTAGCATCTCTTTACATTGTTACTGAGATACATTAAATATGAAGCTTTACACTGGAGCAGAAACATGGGTTTTTAGCTACACATTTTCAGGTAATGAATAAGGACAATCCTCTGATAATAATGAAGAAAGCTGTCACTATTAAATATGTATTCAATGAGAAATCTGAAGAGATGAGGTTGGTTTTGTTCATCTTTGCATACTCATTACAAAGAAAACTGCCCCAGAAGAAGGCCATCACCCACCTTTGAAGTTTATATTCTCAGTGAACGTTGCCACCTGCTACTTGAGCTACAGAGGCAACACAGGTATGTTAATCCTCCTGAGAACCATCTGCACATTATTAGGAAGTCTGTAGACCCCAAGCTGCCGCACCAGTATTAGACTGAAGAAGTATTTAAAAGTGTGTCATTGAAGACCATAATTAGACAAAGATCTTAAAACATAAAGAGACAGGGTAGTTATAGGGATACACAGTAATTTTTATTGCCCAGTGTCATGGTTTAATGACAATATATTTGGGAGGTGAGACTGCTAACAAGATGAACCCTCATTTTCTTTTATTTCTCTCCCCCTAATACTGACAAGGTAGAAATTACAAGGAATCTGAATGAAGGAGGAAAAATAACGATTTTACTAAAACCAGTGATGCCGAAAAACCTTGGAATAATTAACTGCTCAGAGACTTTTGCATCTATAAGCAGCAAGGTATTTGTTTATTCAACACTGGGAGCAAGCCAGCTCTCACTGGACAAACTTGCTGGGCTTGAAAATGCAAAAGCAAGTCATTTTATACACTTTAGATTCATGGCTACATCATCTAACATACATATTAATAAGTAGGCTAGTCTCTGGGCGGAGTCTTTCTATAATCCTTTTGAGCATGCACAGTCTTCTACTGTGGGGATCTTCTCCTCAAGCCTTCATCCCTCTGGTGGTCGCCACAGACGTCTTCCTCAATTTGACCTCTTCAAGTTAGGTGAACTGAATTCTTCAAGTTTGCAAAATCCTGGCTCTGGGCCCTCTGTATCTTATTCAAATGTCTAGTTTATTACCTTGTGTATACTACTCCTATTCTTTCTATAATAAGGCCTTTGGTCCAGTGAGCAGAACAGAACATGATATTAGCCAGTGCTCCTAAAATGTTCTTTTAGCAAAACAGGTAGAGAAATAGGACAAGGTATACCAGCTGACCCATTGTTAACTCTTTTTTGTGCCTTTTTGCCATCACCATAAAGAAACAAAAACAAAACAAAAAAAAAAAACAACAGCAGAAAATATTACCTAGCTACCCCCTCCAGTAATCTCAGGCCACACGGTGACAGTGCTCCATGCAGCTCCTGAAAGGGGAATCCCCAGGCTATCAGCAGTGACTGGTCACACCTGGACAGCTCAGCTGGGGGCTGGGGCAGTCCCAATCCGATGAGCAAAACGGCTGCTGCTGAGACAGAAAACAGCAGCTGAGGCACATATGTTCCCATGAAAGAAGCTCCAAAGGTCCATGGTGCTCCAGCAAGCAAATACTTGGGTACCAAGAGAGAAAGAGTTCTGACGCATGCTTTTTTGTTTTTAACTCCTGTCTCCTGAGTTCCCAAGATTCTTCCCTTCAGGGACCTACCTTTCCAGCAGGTCCCAAGAAGCTGGGGACAGTCTTTCCCCAATTCAGCTCGGACAGGGTGGGGCGGAGGGTGGGACAGTTACCCACATTCCCACTCACATGGTGGTATGAAAAAATTCACTAAAAACCTTCCTCATTTAACTAAAACCACAACACCCAGAAATCAGTGAACAGCTAGGAAGATTCCAGTCCAACCAATATAAGAAACACCCTCTGTCAAAGTTATTATTGCAGCTAAAATGATGCTTCATGAACCACTTTTCTGTTTTCATAAGAGGTGAGATGGTACAGCTTTTTTCACCAAGACCTCCCAATCTCAATGTACACTAAAGCCCTTTACTTAGGAAACCCTTTCTCGCATGTGCCTTCACTGCAGTCACAGGGCTTACACAAGTGACACATAGCACCTGTACACTAGCAGCAGAAGGTCACCACGAACCTGACAGGCTGACAAAGTTCTATCCAGTGGCAGCCTGATCTGGAGTTCATGTATCATATCTTCATTTATATTACTACTCATGCAAGGTAGATTAATGGCTGGCTCTAATTATACTGTAGTTTCACCTTTGGTTGAAGTAGAGATTTGCTCCTTTTCTTATTTAGGGCTGGTAAAAGAATTTTGTTGAGACAAATGTTTCTTCTGGAATAAGTAGCTTCCTAGACTCCCTCAGTCATTGCTAAATAGGTAACGTTTAATCTCTGATGGTATCTAAAGCCTACATGTTTCAAATAAACAATTAAAAAATCAGAAAAAAAACCAAGTTTGCCCATTTTTTTGCACATATACTCATGAGTTTGCATTTGAAAGGCTACCCATTATGCCTACTAGTTGGACAGGCAAATCATCTGTTTTTGCAAGCTAACTTACTACAGCAAGGCTAACCTGCCATAACTAGTGTTGATAACTGAGTTCCATGAGGATGTTTATTCTGCCAATTCTTGAACATACCATCTTATAACTTATGTCTATACTGTATATTATAGAGCAGTGGTTTTCAGAGGTTATACGAGCTTCTCTGGATCACAGGTCTCATGATGTTTAGGACCACTGAAACTGCTTCAAAATAGATATTATTGTTTCATGTTCTCTTGGGGTTTTTTGGAGAAATTGCTTATTAATGTAAAGTTCCTCAATTAACATATCCCTTTTTTACATAAGGAATTATCTGAAGTTCTGTTCACTGCGGTCTGGGTTGCTCACATTTCCTGATGCCGTTTAAATGCCCCTTGGTCACTCCCGGCACCACACCCTCCTCACCTGGTTGACTGCCGAGGACTTCTGGGTCATGGGGCTGCTACTTGGGTGTTCCTGGACTCAGGAACCCCCCTGTACAGCTTGCTGTCTGCCCCTGGACTTCTCTTCACTCATGGCTGCTTGAGCCAGGAGGGCCAGTTGTGTCCTGGGGGGCACCAGGCACAGCATCGCCAGCCGGTCGAGGGAGGTGATTGTCCTGCTCTGCTCTGCTCTGCACTGGTGTGGCCTCACCTTGAATATCATGTGCAGTTTTGGGCACTGCAATATAAGAAAGATATTAAACTGTTAGAGAGCATCCAAAGGAGGGCAACGAAGATGGCGAAGGGCCTTGAGGGGAAGCTGTATGACGAGCATCTGAGGGTACTTGGTCTGTTCAACTAAAGAAGAGGAAACTGAGGGGAGACCTCACTGCAGTCTACAACTTCCTTGTGAGGAGGAGAGGTAGACACTGAACTCTTCTCTGTGGTGACTAGTGACAGAACCTGAGGGAATGGCCTGAAGTTGTGTCAGGGGAGGTTTAGTTTGGATATTAGAAGAAGGTTCTTCACTCAGAGTGTGGTTGGGTGCTGCAACAGGCTTCCCAGGTAAGTGGTCACAGCACCAAGCCTGACAGAGTTCAAGACTTTGGGCAGTATTCTCAGACACATGGTGTGGGGACGTCTTGGGGATGGTCTTGTTCAGGCCCAGGAGTTGGACTCAATGATGTTTGTGGGTTCTTCCAACTCAGCATATTTTGTGATTCTGTGGCTCTGAGCCTTGCAAGCTGTATCTTTGCAAAGGGAAAAACAACATTGAATGTGTTTGTTTCACATTTCTATTTAGTTGTAGGGAACCTGAAACACTTTCCTGATTTCAAATGTTCTCTCTCTTCTCAGAGCCGCACTACAACTCACTAACTCATTAGTCTCTTGCAAGTCTCGTCTTCTTGTCCCAGCCCTCAGAGATGCACACATTCACATATGAAACACTTCAGAAAAGGCATTTAGAAGTGTGCTTCAAGTGTTTTTTTTTTTTACCAATGGCATGTGCTGGCATTCAGGATGGAACAATTTCCATTTCATCTGCTTCTCTGCCTAACAGTGAGCCTTGCAATTTCTTATCACTATCCTTAAAGCAGTCCCTCTTCCATCCTCTTTCACATAATCATACCGGCATCCAGTCGAGTAGGGTAGTTCTTAATGATTAAAGGCACTAATGTAATTCCCTCCAGTGCTTATTATCACTACTAGGTGTTTCAGTAACTAAGTTTACTTGACTACAGAAATGAGTGCAGCCAGTGTTAAGTTCAGCTACTGTAACTGAAAAGGCAGTGAATTATTGTGCTCATGTATGGGAAATATTATAATGGGTCATGTTTGAGATTGGTCTTCCATCTGCATGATGCACTGAGAATGATCAATGAGAAAATATGCATGTCTTAATGAAAAGCATGATTGCTATGCTTTCTACACAACTTAACTTTCACCCCTGCTGACTCTGGCAGTCACAAAGATCAAATCTTTTCAAATTTCTTTCACTGCAGTGTCAGAAAAACCTAATTTATATTTTGAATCTCTGCAAAATTGTTCATTATGCAAATCCTATTTTGTGAAATAGATATGAGAGTGATAGAACTGATTGAGGCTGAAAGGCAATAGAGGCTGTAAGTTATGAGAGATAAAAATGCACAAGGGTGAAACAAAGAATATTTCTATTCAGGTGCTGCTGGAAAAGTATTTAAAAGTCCAAGTTCATGTTTTTGTTTCTCAGCTTTGTGCCTAACTTGTCTGAAAATAAAATAGGATACAAAACCCTTTTATATTAAACACAGCTATTTAAACCCTTTTCAGCTGTAGGGAGATACTAAAATCTACTGTCTGCAGTACCTCTATGCTCAGCTTAATAGTGTATGACTGTACTGCAGCATTGCTACTTCATAACTCTTCCTTGGATCATCTCTTGTCAGCCAATTTGCTCCAAATACTAGTGCAAATTTGCTGATACAAGGGCTGCCTTCAGCCCTTTAATCAGATAAAACTCCTATTAACAAAAGATGGCAACATGGCTCATTTTATTGCAAGGTTCCTACTACATATGTTCATATTTCCTCGAGTATGGCAACCATTGACCTTGGCAGTCTAGATTGATTTGTCCAGTTCAAGGATCACTTGGCTTCTGTGCTGAGTGATAGTTGCTTGGCTAGCTGCAGTCTTTTTCATTTCCCATTGATTTAATAGTGTTTCTTATTTTATAGATTATCATAGCATTGAATTATAATTTTAGATCCTAGTTCAATTTTGGCCTTTCTCAAAGCCTCTTCCAGAACACTGTTAATCAAGGAAAAGCTCTAACCCCTGGTTTATTTCCCAACATACCATAAATACAAGTATTAAAGAAGATATGCATACACACATTAGAGGGAAAGAGAAGTAACATATAATAAAATATTAAGTTCCTCACTAACTTTTATTCATTCTTTTTCAGATGACAAAACTTTTGGCTTTCTGAGTCCTTTTAGAAATTTTGTCTGCCTAAGCAGAAATTATTAACATATACCATAATCAAACCCCAAAATTTAAACTTTGACAGGAAGTAAATTTTATAAAATTTTCTAATGGATGTGTTTATGAGAATAGAATCAGGAAATGAGAGACAAATATTGATTTAGAGTATATGATCCAAATTATTTTCACCATTATTTAATCAGGGGTTTGGGATTTTTTTTCACATGATTATTTTCTGATGTTACAGAATTTAAAAATTGCATCAGGGAAACATCCACAAAACTGAGAAGTGCTTTACAAATACAGGGGACTGTTTTCACAAGGCATAACAATCTAATTCCAGGCATAAACTCTAATAATGGGACAAGCACAGGCAAATTGGTAGGGTAATAGAAAAGCCTCATGCAGCTGCTCAGTTAAGAACCTGCCTGTACCAATATGCTGGAATGAATATTAACCTCTTATCAGTTTTCTGAGTTCTGAATACAGTTTTGGATGGTACAAAAAATATAGGATATAACTAAAATCCATTATTATTCTTCCATAATTAAATATACATCATAGCTTTCAGTACAAGGTGGTTGTACCTTAACTACATGTAAGTGAAGCTATATGCAAATGGAATAGTTCAGGCAGCCACTGCAGAGTAACTGCAGCAGCATGCATCTCCTTACAGGCTAATTTATTCAGTGTCTTGGCATGGATGCTGAGCTGAATGCAGAAGGGTATTTGGCACAGTGTACTCTGCAGCACTGTGACCTCCAAAAGCGTAGGGCTCTGCACAGCACACAAATCTGCTCAGACAATGAGCTTCAATATATATGTACCAAGTACTTTCCAAGGCCACCCAGTTCACTATCACTTGTGTATGGCAGAGTGAGATCTGTCACTTGCAGGACGAGGATAACCATGGCACTGCACACCACATCCACGTACGAAAATAAGAGTGTAATTCTTTCTTTCTGGTCTGTCCTTTCTGACCTGACACAGAACACATGTTTTGACGTCTTGGCTACCTTGAGTGATACTTAGGTTTCAAAGTTTGCTTTGGCTGACCCACTCTGTCAAAGCAACAGCTGTGCTCTGCTAATCGAGCTTTTGGAAAGCTTGCCTGTAGCATACTTCAGTGATTCCTAGCACTTGCTTTTTGTTCCAGTGGTCTTCCATGTTTTGATTTTTTTTTTCTCATAGACTCAGCCTACCAGTTCTCTCAAATAAATCATTTTACAGATTTCTGTCCTTTATCGGTCATCCCATCCATCTGTCTTCTTCCAGTAATTTTCAGACTACAGGACTTCAGTAACATTTTCTAGCATATAATTTCTCCCTGGAGCCTCTTAGTCTAATCCATAAAACTGTCTTACTTATGTCTCACATTGGTGCCCCCAGCTTCATGTCATGCATCAGTGCCCTCCAGCTCATTGCTCTGCATCACTACCCGTCTAGCCTATACTAATGGATATTGGCCCACATTTTAATTAGCGTATAACTGAAGCTAAACAAGAAATACATGAAGTAAAAATGTAAATTATGCTCAGCTAGTTCCAGGTGCTATCATTTTATCTTAATGAGCATTTGGTATAAGAAGGACTTTACAAAGCATAAACAATTCTGCTTCACAAATTCTTTGGGGTTTTATTAACTTTTTGACAACAGTTTAATTTTGGACCTAAAGAGAACAGACATCCTGCCATCCAAGGCTGCTTTCCAAAGCCCGTAATACACTCCTGTTCTGAATGATAACTCAGTGTCATACCAGTGTTTTTCAACACCTCCTGTCCTGTTCACAATAAAATATGATCAACTAAAGTGAGAAATACACAAGAATGTTTTCTCATTCTCTGGCGCTAAATGAAAGTAGTAAGGTGTTATTAGACAGAAGTATACCTAAAAATTTTGTGGTGCTGTCCAGCAAGGGAAAGAAAAGAAAGCTGGAAGGTCATCATAAAGTGAAAATATCCACAGGAAAAAAAATTAGTTTTATTACCCTGGAAAGTCAAGGTACTCTCTACATGTTAAGTCATGTTTCATTTCTTTCGGGTTCCTATCAATGCTTATGTATAAGCCTAATGGTTCTCAAACTTTATGTCATTTTGACATCAGTGCTTTCTGCTTCAGCAAAACATTAAATGTACATTCCTTTTATTTACTTTCTAGCAGGTCTAAAAAGCAGCATATTAGTTATTAGGCAGTTATATATTCTTTTTCTGTTTTACAGAGAAGGGAAAAAAACTATATGGAGTGTGAATCAAGCACTTAGACCTTTTATCAGATTAAGGTCTGGTAGTTGTCTTATTATTCTTACAGATATAAAATAGAAGTAATTTCTGTAGCAGTTTCATTAATAATTCTAGAATAAAATCCATAGAAGCAAGAAGAAACACCTCTAATATTAAAAAAATATGTTAAAATAATGTTAAAAAAGATTTTTGGGATCTTTTCAATATTTAAAATATTTTGCTAACTGAAAGCAGGAACACTCGAAAGCTAAGAAGAATTAGTATACTAAATCAGGTCCTATGCAAAAATATAACATTAGTTCTAAATTTAATGTAATAGTGCTGCAGCTACCTGGCCCATTAGTATGAGCATGATTTAAATCAGGTCAACACAAATCACAAGCTACTGTCTTAACAGATCCGCAGTTTACCATTCCACAATTTCCATGTTGTACCCAAATGAACAGACAAGTTTATCAAGGGAAAGAGTCCTGTGAAGCTCTCTCTGCTGCAGTGCAAGGGATCATTCTGTCTCCAGAACACACAGTGCTACACGAGTGAGAGCAAGGTCAGCTCGGTTACAGCCATCCAAGTAGCATTTTGCAGTGTTGTTGGTTTCTGTAAAGCTAAATTAACTGATACTGAAAAACAGACACCTAATTTTAAGCCAGAGAGGGAGTAAATACTCAAGCTGTGTTGTGACTGCATTAGGTTTGAAATGAAGGACGTCTGCAGTGCTAACTCGCTTTATGCACAAGGTACTGAAAACAATATTGGTCCTACATGATGACAGCCCACACAGTTTTCAGTGCCTGTGTGTTGGGAGGAGGTCAGGAAGAATTCACTAGTATGTAACAGCATTACTTCTTAAAGTCTGGATCATTGTTCTGACATTAATTAGGAAGAAAAAAATTTTTATCTCATATCAGCTTCTACATCATGTCATTCTGGATGTGACAATTCAAGTCTGCTTTCTGAAAATATGAGACTATTCAGAAAAATTGCAGAGTCCAGTCTTTTAAGACAAAAAAAAAAAAAAAGGAAAAATAATGTCCTAAAGGGAGCTAAAATGTCAAACATGTACTTGATCTTTTCATCACCCTTTTAGATTTAGAAGATCATTTAAATGAGTGACATAAAAATATAAAAATTGAGAGGATGCTGTACAGAGGTTAAGCAAGCCACAGTACTTCATTTTTGTCACTTCAGTCGCACCACAGGACAGTTCAAAAAGTTTGTACCTCATCAGAGCAAATAATAGTTTTCTCTAACTGAAGAGTTTACTGTAGGTAAACAAGATGCTTGGGAAACTCAGTCCTTTTATTTTACATTTATTCCAAAACTTTTGGTGAGAACTATATGCAGGATTATACCACCATCCATGATAATGATGGAAAGGATGATAATGATAATGATAATGAGAATGAGAATGATAATGTTAATGATAATGATAAGAAGGAAAAATAAGGATGCTTAGCATTGACTTTCAGATGTTGCCCCACTATGTAGACTGGGATTCTGACTAGGTTCATGTGGTCAACATCCTAAACACATGCAAACTGAGAGGCAGAAAAGATAGCTAGCATAATACTCTTTTTTACACTGCCAAAGATTAGTGTCAAATTCTCAGTTTTGACCTAGTTTTGTTCTTCTTCTTTATTTTCTATCTCTTTGACCTTCTTTGATTCTCCTGCTTTCTAACTTCTTTCTCAAATTTCAATGTTTGCTCTCTGCAGTGAATAACATATTCTTCTCACCTAGTCTTTCATCCTTCTGCCAACTCTAACCCCCTCCTCAATCAGCTGTGTTGAGAAAAAAATGTCTCCCTTGCTCTAATAGTGTTTGGTATCATTAGCCAGGCATCATTCATTACTCAAATCCAACCTTATTTTCTGCTTCAGTGGTGGTAGTTCTCAATTAATTTAGCAGGTTTTAGACAAAATAGATGACACTTTAATGTGTCTTTTTTTTTCCTTCCAGAGTAAACTAGCATCTGTCTGAATAGTAATCATAGAGAAAAATGTAATTTTAGAGCGAAACCAAAATCTTTGATGTAAGAAAGAGAAACACACAGACAAAATAAACTGAAATCAACCCATTCTCGGTAAAAAAGTTGTTATGGAATTTGGCACAGACTGGTTATTTTTAAAGAAGGAAGGAACAATAAATAGCTTTAAAGTCACACATGTCAGAGTGTAATATTAATGTGAGTGTGAGACCATCAGATTGAACATTGTGTTTAGATAAAAGGTTCAGGAGATTCAACATTCTTTCTCTGATAGAGACACCTAAGGAAAATATACAAATAAGGAACACATTTAGAGATACTTCCCAGCTTCCAGCAATCTGCATTTCCTAGGGTGGATGTAGCTCTCTTGTGTTTTTAGAGCCTTAAATTTTTTTCCTTCAGCAACTTCACCTTATTGGGTTTTTTAAACACACATTTATTTAACATCTGTGATGTCATGTATCAGAGTTGCACCTCTTTGCAATTGGCTGTCACTGCAGTTTATCTTCGTGGAGTACTTCCTTATGTTGGTTTTGATTCTGCTGTCTGATAGTGTCAGTTTGTACCTTCCTTTCTCAAATTAAAATAAACAATTATTTATAATCATTCTCTCTATATTGTTCATGATTTTATAGACTTTGAGCATACCTCCCTTCAGTCATTTGTTTTTCAGAATGAAGATCCCTGAAAATTTCTCTTCAGTAAGTGACTTTTCTGCGTCTTTCCTTCATCTCCATTACCTCCCTCTGTATCTTTCCTAGTTCTACTATTTCGTGATGGTGCAGGAGTAGGACTCTTATGGGTCCAAGATGGGCAGAAATCACGGAGTAATGCACAGTATTATGACCATAATAATGTTTTCTATTCCTAGTAAATGCTACCTTTTGCTTTGCTAAATATTACCCAGTGCCAAATTGATCTTGCCATAGAACAGAAAAATATAAACACCAAATATCTTTTCTGAGTGCACAGCCCTTCATTCGAGCAGTGTTTCCACAGATTTCATTTTTATCTCTGGACGCTGAATGTCACCTGCCATTTTATTGTCTAGTCTTTCAATATCATGAATCCATCAACAGTTCCACAGGGTCCTATGTTGCAGTTTAATAACTCTGGCACAGTTGGTTATCTCTTCCCTTTTTTCCCAGATTATTTACAAATATGCCAGACGTTGTAGGCCCTGACACTGAACCCAGTCATTTTCCAGTTGCAATCCATCTGTCTTGAAAGAATTTGTTTCCTGCCTTTTGTTACCCTTTAACCAGTTATTCAATAATAACACTTCTTCTTGGCCCAGCTTAGCATCTTTCAGACCTTTTGGTGGCTGACTTTGTGAAATGCCTTTTTGAAATTCAAGTACATTATATCAAGTGTACACTATAACAAGTGTTCTATTCTAATGCTGGAGCACAACTTCCCTTTACAAAAGCTTTCCTAACTCTTCATTAACACATAATATCATGTACTAAATTCCTATATGCAATATACATGATAAGGATGGGTACTCTGAACTACTTACCTGGTGGTTGGTTGCAAGCTTGGGCATGGAACAGAGCAAACAATGGGACAGCTATAATTGTATGTTCTTTGAGGTGCTTTCTTTCTCAGGCTAACAGGTGAATTGTAAAGGTCTTCCAGATGTAGCGGGTATATACGGACACACAGCGCTGGGGTTGCTAGCTGGGTCTCAGGTGAAATAAAGGTAGCAAGGAACGAAAGTTGAAGTATTCCCACCTAGCCATCTTGAACATCTCTGCTTGGAGGAATAAAAAACATATATAATGGCATTTGGAATCAAGCATAAAATACAGCTTCAGTAGAGAAATACATAACACATAATCAATTCTGATTTAATGAAATAAAAAGGTGTGCATGCACATGTTTTAACTTTGGACTACAACAATAAGCATATGGTCAAATATTTAGCTTGAGTGAGCCTCAAATTAAAAAAAAAAACAAAACAACCCAAACTGCCATTTAGCAGAAAGGCAAAGAATACAAGTTGTACAGAGTGTCATACAAAAATTATAAGACGATAAAACAAATTTTTAATGTATAAACTTAATTCTGTACTTTGTGTGTACATATTACAGTGGAACATTTTCTTAATGCAAACATATTGTATACATATGTACATACATAAAATCATTTAAAACTTCAGTTCTTTATTTGAGAAAATATATGCTGGTTTTCATTATATTAGTTACTTTGGGATCAGCCTAATAATATGCATATGTATTATGAGTAAGGAAATTTCAACAGAAAAATAAAAAATACCCTTTCTTATATTAAAAGAAGTAACAAAACAGCAATAAAATATGAACACTCATCAAGATTTAAACTGAAAGAGATTAATTGCTGAGTACTTTAGTTACTCTGAGACAATGGACATATATATATTTATATACATAAACCAATAAAATATATATACAATATGCTAGCCATTTCATCTGTTCTATCATCAGACTGATTAGATAAAACTCAGTTATAGAGACAGCTTTATGGTAAATCATGCTCAAACCATCATTAAGAAAAATGCAAATAGAAAAAAAAAATTACAAAAAATTACCTGATGTAAGGGCTAGCCATCAAAACAGCTCTGTCACCAGTACATTCAGAGACTTCATCCAGACTCTTCTAACCAAAAAAAAATCAGGTGATTTGACCTTTTTTTAATAAATCATAAATGGAGAATGAGTCATAGGTGGTTTCTAAGGAGACCAAGTTAGTAACCATAAAGGTCTTTATAAATCAAAATCTGTACCTGGAAGGAAAATCAGGGTTTGGAGGACAGACCGAGTGAAATTAGGAAAAGATTCTTCACCCAGAGGGTGGTTGGGTACTGGAACAGGCTCCCCAGGGAAGTGGTCACAGCATAAAGCCTGACAGATTTCAAGAGGCATTTGGACGATACTCTCAGGCACAGAGTGTGACTCCTGGCAAAGGTCCTGTGCAGGGCTAGGAGTAAGACTTGATGATCCTTGAGGGTTCTTTCCAACTCGGCACATTCTGTGATTCTGTGAAATGGTGAGTGTATGTATTCCTTCAGACCTTGTTGACAGTTAAAGGTGCATTTGCCTCTGTTAGCAGGGACTACGGCTGAGAGACATGTACATTAATTTCTTTGTTTGGTATGCAAAATACTTTCTGTGGACACCTCATTGTCTCCTCAGGATCTGTTTATTTTCTCTCATACAGTCAACTAGCTTTAAAAGCATCTCTTCTGAGACCTCCCAACCTCTTTCTCTGCCTCCAGACCCAGAAGGTGTGAGCTGCTGCAGGCACACCTAGGTTTACAGTCAAACTCTGAAAAAGAATCAAGAAACCAAGTTTCAAAAGGAAAATAGGTGAAGCCAAGTATTAATTTCATACTAATGGAGTAGTTTTCAAGGGACAGAAAGATCACTTGTCCAAGCCTACTGTCTGAGAGCTTACAAAGGAAATTCAAAATTGTAGAAGACCATTCATTTCTACTTCATTAAGATTACTCTTACAAAGAAGTTACATGTATAAAACTAGCAATGGTCAACAACATGAAATGTGTGGCACAGCCCAAGAAAACTGAACCTTGACAGCATCCTTAAAAAAAAAGAAATATCTTAAGAGCATTGTCTTCATATACTGTGCTCAGGGTCAGACTGAAAATAAACCAGAAAGTGGGAAAAAAAAATGGATATGAGTAAGCCACTAATTATGTGGACTTTTGCCCAGATTATTTTATGTTTTTCAGTTTATGATTTTAGCTATGTTAGATCTTTTATCTCTCTGACAAGATACAAGAATATTTATTTAATGATAAGTAAGAAAAGTGAATTGATAGTATGCATTAAAATACAATAAACTTATTATGAGGATACAGTCCTTATTACAAAACTTGAGAGCCCTAATATAGATAACAGATCGCTTACCATGTCCTTTGTAAATCCTTTCTACTATTATAGTTAAAATGTTCTAAAATTTAATGTAAATACCTGCTTTCAATTGTGAAACCTATGTTCATCCAGTTTAATTAGCTGGAGAAATATAAATATCTGATGCTCAGTTTTTATTGTTCAATCAACAGAATTAGAGGTTTGTGTTACCTGTTGCACACAAATTATGACACAACAGTACATTTGTAAGTCCAGTGCTTGCTTCTTGCCTGAGAAATCGTAGAACTGTTTGCTTCTACTTCCTGTACTTATTGTCTACTCTGTACCAATTAATAATTTAATTGTCTTAAATAACAATTTGAGTGTGTACCTGTCTGCTTATTGATTTTACAGATACATTTTATATTTCTTTCCACAGAACAACGAAACGTCTCTGAGCTTATCATTAGAAATCTTTTACATGTTCCAGTTTTTCACATTTTATTAATTCTGTTTTGTAGCACGACTTTCCACTTTTTGATAGCAAAACTAAATATATTATATTGCATTTCTCTATAAAGTAACATATACATTATTTTAAAAAGCAATAATTGCATAAGGGGTTTTCTGTCTCAGGAGAGGGTAATAAGGTCTCATCTCATGGCTAGGCTTTGAGAACGAAGATTTGGGAAGGTCTCTATCCACATTTGTTACAAGCACGCTGGTGGCTAAAAAGGCCAATACAAGATAGACATGTCCGATTGCAAAAGGCACAGCAGAAAGACTCCTTGGGTGGTAAATTCTGCAAGGCACAATTCTTCCTGTGTTGTCTTTTCTCCTCGAGAGTGATCCTCTGTGCTTTCTCAAAGACATCAGCAGCGTTATAGATGATGTGTCTCCAGGTCTCCCGATTTGAGGCCAGAGTAGACCAGTTATGTTGATCAGTATGGCCAAGGCTGAGATGTTGTTTCAGGGAGTCCTTGTATCTTTTCTTCGGGGCTCCTCTCTTGCAGCAACTGGTGGCAAGTTCACCATAGAGCAAGATCTTAGGGAGGCGGTGGTCCTTCATCCTGGAGACGTGCCCTGCCCAACACAGCTGTGTTCTCAGCAACATGGCCGCTATACTTGTGACTGCTGCTTGTTCTAGAACAGATGTATTGGTCACATAATCTGACCAGTGGATGTTTATGATTGTGCGGAGACAGCGCTGATGGAAGTATTCTAAGAGTTGCAGGTGGTGGCGGTAGATAACCCATGATTCGGACCCATATAAAAGAGTAGACAGCACTATGGCTCTGTAAACACTGATCTTTGTACTTTTCTTCAAGTGTTTATTACGCCATACTGTTTTATGAAGTTTTCCGAAAGCACTATATGCCTTTACTAACCTGTTGTCTATCTCTCCGTCAATTTTACCATTCGAGGAGATAAGACTACCTAGGTAATTAAAATGCTGGACTGATTTGAGCTCTGATTCATCAGTGGTGATATGAGGATGGTGGAAGACTTCCTGAGGTGCAAGTTGATAGAGAACCTCTGTGTTCTTTAAGCTGACTTTCAGCCCAAAGAGCTCAGCAGCGTCTGCAAAGCAGGATGTTAAACGCTGCAGAGCTGCTTCTGTGTGGGTGACAAGGGTGGCATCATCAGCATAAAGCAGCTCCCGGACAAGATGGTTTAAGGTCTTAGTGTGGGCCTTCAGTCACCTTAGGTTGAATAGTCTTCCATCAGTACAATATCGAATGTAGATACCGTCCTGATCCTCGAGGTCTGCAGTGGCCCTTTACATTATCATGCTGAAAAAATTGTGAATAGAGTTGGTGCAACAACGCAGCCTTGTTTCACACCATTGGTAATTAGAAAGAGCTCAGAAAGCGCATTGCCATATCTAACTTGGCCATGCTGATCCTCATGGAGTGAGATGATCATTTTAAGGAACTTGGGGGGACATCCTAAACATTCCAAAATCTGCCACAGACCTTTTCTGCTCACAGTATCGAAAGCCTTGGTGAGATCAACAAAGGTTACATAGAGACCTTTATTCTGTTCCCTACACTTCTCTTGCAGTTGTCTGAGAACAAACACCATGCCTGTGGTAATCCTGTGGGCTCTGAAACCATATTGGCTTTCAGGTAGAATTCCTTCTGCTATAGCGGGTGTTACTCTGTTCAAAAGTATTCTTGCCAGGATTTTGCCAGCAATGGAGAGCAGAGTAACATCACGGTAATTTGAACAGTCTGATTTAACTCCTTTCTTCTTATACAAAGTGATGATGACTGCATCATCACTAAGGTCTAATGGTAGTTCACCTAGTTCCCAACAACGCACCACAAACTCGTGAAATATAGCGTGGAGTGCTTGGCCCCCATGTTTCCAGATTTCAGGTGGAATTCCATCAACCCCAACTGCCTTGCTGATTTTCACCTGCTGTATGGCCTTAAGAGTTTCTCCCAAAGTGGAGGCTATATCCAATTCATTCTTCACTGGTTGTTGTGAGATGGACTGAATAGCTGAGTCTTAAACTACATGGCTAGTACTGAAGAGAGTCTGAAAGTGTTCAGACCAACAATTCAGAATGGAGGTTTTATCTGTCAGAAGTGTTTGACCATCTGTGCTGAGTAGAGGGCTTAGGACGTGGTATGTAGGCCATTACGCTGTTTTCAAGGCCTCATAGAATCCTCTGTGATCACCCATACCTGCACATAATTGAGTTTTTTCAGCTAGACTGATCCACCACTTGTTCTAGACGTCACAGAGTTTTTGTTGGAGCTTGCTGCATGCAAGACAAAAGGCTACTTTTCTTACATGACAGGAAGGCAGTGCAAGGTGTGCTTGATGAGCAGTTCTCTTCTTCCTCAACAACTCCTGGATCTCTTGATTGTTTTCATCAAACCAGTCATTGTTCTTCTTGAAGGAGAACCCTAAAGATTCTTCAGAGGACTGCCGGATGCTGTTTTTAATATGGTGCCAAAGTGCTTCAGGAGAGGGATCTATAGTATCTATAGAATGATTTTCGAGCCTAGTTTGAAGATTTGTCTGGAATCTGTCTCTCACTGTGGCTGATTGGAGATTGTTAACCTGGAGTCTCCTCCTTGGCATACTACCCCTTTTAGGTTTGAACTTAAGATTGAAGTTAAGTTTGCAGCACAGAAGCCGATGGTCTGTTTGGCATTCTGCACTGGGCATCATGCGAGTGTGATGGACATCGTGAACATCTCTCCGTAGCACCAAGACATAATCAATGAGATGCCAATGCTTAGATCTAGGATCTAACCTATCCAGGTTGTCTTCAGACTATTTTTCTGTTGAAAGATAGTATTAGTGATGGTGAGCTGTTGCTCCGCACAGAATTCTAGCAGAAGGCAACCATTATCGTTGCAGTTTCCAACACCATGCTTGCCTAATACTCCTTTCCAAGCTTCAAAGTTCTTTCATACTCTGACATTGAAATCACCAGAGATAATGATCTTATCATCTGCAGGCACCTTTTGGGTAAGGTGGCACAGGTCAGTGTAAAATTTATCTTTTTCAGCAGGGTCAGCTTGGAGAGTTGGGGCATATATACTAAAGAGGACAATGTGTTGCTTGTTGTGTAGCGGAAGGCGTAGGGAGATAATGCGGTCAGAATGACCTGTCGGCAGATTTTCGAGTTTAGGAACAAGAGAGTTTTTGATCATGAAGCCAACTCCTGAAAGATGCCTTTCGGTTCTGGGTTTACCTGACCAAAAGAGTGTGTAACCGGCACCGTGTTCTCTAAGGCTGCCTTGCTCGTGAAGGCAAACTTC